CCCGACCGCCCGCTGGGGTCTCGGCGCCGCTGGCCCGAGCTGACCGGAGCGCGCGGCCGCAGGTGGTGCAGAAGCTGACGCGCATGGTGGGCCGCAGCGTGAAGCTGTACGACATGGTGCTGCAGTTCCTGCGCACGCTCTTCCTGCGCACGCGCAACGTGCACTACTGCACCCTGCGGGCCGAGCTGCTCATGTCCCTGCACGACCTGGACGTGGGGGACATCTGCTCCGTGGACCCCTGCCACAAGGTGCCGCCCCCGCGCCGTGGTGCCTGCCGGGGCGGGGCGGGGGGGGGGGCGTTTGCCTCGGGGTCCAGCCTCCCGCTCCCTCCTGCTGGCACCAGGGGGGACCCCGCCCGAGGCCCAGCCCCCACCCTGGCCACGTGGGGGGCGCAGGGGCACGGCGAGCCCCGTCCTGAAGCCCCGTCTCACCTGCCGCAGTTCACCTGGTGCCTGGACGCCTGCATCCGGGAGCGGTTTGTGGACAGCAAGAGGGCCCGGGAGCTGCAGGGCTTCCTGGACGGGGTGAAAAAGGGGCAGGAGCAAGTCTTGGGGTGAGGCTCGCCGGCACCCACCCCGGCCCCTGCCCAGGGCAAGCGCGTTGTGACCCCAGCGGGGCGCCTTAGGCGAGCTGCCCCCCCAGCCCCCCTGCCTGGAAGAGCCGGGAGTTGGGCCAGGGTGCCCGAGGGGGCAGGGGGAGGCCGCTGCCCGGGTCGCTGGCCGGACCGACGGGCAGCGGACAGAGCACGACTTGTGTGCAAACTTCTTTTAACTCCCCGTGTTTAAGCAAGCGCAGGGTGGGGTGCCCACCTGCGATGGGCCTGGGATGGGTGCGCGTGGGTGGGCCGAGCCTCGCGGCCGGCCTGCCACAGCGTGCCAGGTCTGCCCTCAGGGACCTGTCCATGATCCTGTGCGACCCCTTTGCCATCAACACCCTGGCGCTCAGCACGGTGCGGCACCTGCAGGAGCTGGTGGGCCAGGAGACGCTGCCCAGGGTGAGCGTGCGGGCCGCCCTGCCGCCCCGGGGCGTGTGAGGCGCGGGCTGAGCGCCTTGGCCCTCCCGCAGGACAGCCCGGACCTGCTGCTGCTGCTCAGGCTGCTGGCGCTGGGCCAGGGGGCGTGGGACATGATCGACAGCCAGGTCTTCAAGGAGCCCAAGATGGTAGGGCCGCCTGCCGGCCGAGGGGCCCTGGGGCCTGGCCACCCGCCGACCTTCCGGGTGGGGGGAGGCCCCTCTGGGTGCCGGGGCCTCTGTGGGCAAGCCTCCGGGCAGGGCCGGCCGGGGTCGCTGGAGGAAGCCTGGCAGGGCAGGGGGAGGCAGGAAGGCAGGCCCCTGGTGGCCCGGGGAGCGGTGGGGCCGGTGCAGAGCAGCCTCGCGCTTCCCTGGCCAGGAGGTGGAGCTCATCACCAGGTTCCTGCCCATGCTCATGTCCTTTGTGGTGGACGACCACACCTTCAACGTGGACCAGAAGCTTCCCGCTGAGGAGAAGGCCCCTGTCCTGTACCCCAGCGCGCTGCCTGAGAGCTTCACTAAGTAGGCTGGCTTCACTAAGTAGGCGGGGTGGGAGGGGCGGGGGGGGTGGGCGGGGCCGGCGGGAGGGGAGGGGCCACCCGGGAGCCCTGACCGCGCGTGCAGGTTCCTGCAGGGCCAGCGCCTGGCCTGCGAGGTGGGCCTGTACTATGTGCTGCACATCACCAAGCAGAGGAACAAGAACGCGCTGCTGCGCCTGCTGCCCGGGCTCGGTGAGTGACCGTCTGCCCTTGCTGGCATCAGTGTCCCCCTGGCAGGGTGTGGGGCGCAGCAGAGGGGAGCCCGCGTAGTTAGACCTCACTGGCGCGTGGCCCCCAGTGTGCGCAGGGAGAGCGCCCTGGGCTCGCCGCCCCGGGGTTGGGGGGGACTGGCCAGTGGTGGGGGCACCCTGGCTGGGCTGCCTCTGGGGCGCGCCCAGCTGTCCTTCCTGCTGCACGCCCTCCCGGGGGCTCCACGGGCTCGTTGAACGAGCAGAGGGCGTCCGGTCTTCACCCTTGCCAGGGCAGTGCGGGGTAGGGTGCCCTGTGCTGGCTCTCGGCCCTCGGCCAGGCCGGCCACTGGCGCCTGGTGACCTGGCGCTGCTCCTGCAGTGGAGACTTTCGGAGACCTGGCCTTCGGCGACATCTTCCTGCACCTGCTCACGGGGAACCTGGCGCTGCTGGCCGACGAGTTTGCCCTGGAGGATTTCTGCAGCAGCCTCTTCGACAGCTTCCTGCTCACCGCCTGCCCCAGGTACTGCCCCCGGGGCCTCCACTGGGGGGGGGCGGGGACGGGGCGCGCGGCCTGCAGCCCCGCCTCTCCCAGGAAGGAGAGCGTGCAGCGCCACGCACTGCGGCTCCTCGTGCACCTGCACCACCGGGTGGCCCCCGCCAAGCTGGAGGCCCTGCAGAAGGCGCTGGAGCCCACGGGCCAGGTGGGTGTCCCCCGCTGCACCCCGGCCGTGCCCGTGTGGCCGCGGCGCCGCTGAGTGTCCGCGCCCCCCGCAGAGCGGAGAGGCCGTGAGGGAGCTGTACTCGCAGCTCGGGGAGAAGCTGGAGCAGCTGGAGCCCCGGCACGCCAGCCCCGCCCCCGCCGCC